CCTTGAAGTATTTGCCCCCTTGGAAGGAAAGATTATCTTGAGTAAAGAAATTTTCAGACTTATTTGTATGAAAAAGAGTCAGTAAACCTGAATTAATCCAACCCAATCTTTTGGTGCTTCAGCAGTACCAGCAGGCACTTCTTTTCTTACTGCAAGTTGAAACTTGAATGATACAGTTATCAACAGTGATGATGCTGAAGTGTGACACAGCAAAGATCTATAGGCAGCCACTGGTAGAGACACATCTAATGAGTCAACAAAAGCCTTGCCAAAGCCTGAGATGAACACAGTCAGCTTTCAGGCAGGAATCAGACATGAATTTTATTTTTTACTTTTTTACTAAGTGGGATGTAAGAACTAAAAATAAGCAAAAATAATGATCTCCCATTTTAACCTTGCAAAGATCATAATTAAAATCTATGTTACATTATTAAAATATGCAAAATTTATAATTTAATTATACAATTACACAAGCCTTATAGTCTAATAGCCCCACTGTATGTTTGCATATTTGTGAACAACTGCTTTCTTAAAGCTCACAGTAGAATCATTTACTTGATGCTGGAGAATAAGTTAATTACGGATATCCTGCCTTTGATTAATGGATTTAATAATCATGTTACAGTAGAATTAACTTATTCTTCATGTGCTTACAGTACTAATGATGAGATTCACGAAAGCAACGTGTCAGCAAAGAGGATCAGCACCAAAGAACATGCTTGGAGATCCCAGGATTGCCTGTATTGCTGCAAGTCAGCATTTCTGCTGGGAACCCACAAACAGCATCCAACTATTTTTGGCTAATCTGTCATCATTAATTTCCACCACTTGCCACTCATTTCTATGAGAGCAGATACTGTTTTCAAAAGAGCTGAACGCCTTAACTGAAGCTCAATATTGAAAATTATAGGAGAAAAATTATGCTATGAGATTGGTGTATAGTATTGGATAATACACTATGAAGACATATACCCAATGGGCATAGCTACCTCTTATCTGCTGCTACCCAGCATGGCAGTCATCTTCTTTAATGCTTCTTTTATGTGCATGTGCAATAACGTATAAGGTTTCCCAGATAGAAACATGTTGAGTCAGCTAAGAAACCTCAAAAATGGGTTCTTAATACATTCTAAGAGATGGAACACTGAAGTTTTCAAACTCAACTTCAGCTGTTTAACAGGAGGTACCACTGCAGGATTGAGGGAATAGAAGGGGAACTTCAATACTTGGTATTTTGCAAGTTACAGGGGATCTGTGTGTGTCTGTGTAGAAAGCAGATCTGTACGAACCAACTTCAGAAACCCTTAGTTAAGTAAAACTCCTGCTGACACAGATAAATACAAAATGAAGATCTGAACCACATTTTGCTTGAAAAAGCAGTACTTCAAGAATCACTAGCAACAGGATTTCAAATTGCATCAGCCATGTACCTCATCTATTACTATGCAAAGAAATAGAGCAATACAACTCAGCAGCTTAGCATAACACTGGCCCCAAGAAGAAAGCAGGAAATGAATAGGAATACAATTTCCTTAACAATTCACTTACAGCAAAAAGGAGACTATACTGCAGTCCTGGTCTTGCTGTTCCACCAGCAATGTTGATCTACTGCTGCTTGTTTTCTGTTTTGGAGCCAGGGAGAAATTTAGGATTATGATAATTTAGGACTTAATGCTTTTTTCCACCAAAGTGAGCTTCAGGGCTGAGAGACAAATTGAAATAATACATTTCTTACTGTACTAGATGTGACACTGCTTCAGATGTACCACTCAAACCCAGGCTGCGCATCAACCTCTTTTTCCTTGCTCCCCCTTTCTCCCATTTGCTCACACTCTGTCACATATTCATCCTGGGTAGTAGAGAGTTACAGCACTGTTTTCAATTCCTCACAGCTGGCACTGCTTATGGAAGACATTTTAGTAGGTGTCAGTGTGTACCTCATGTACTATGTTGTATCACACTATTTCACCCCCTCCCCTCACAGCTTGTCCCAAGTGAGTTCAGGAATCAGTGGCCAAAATGACTTTCAGCTGCAGATCATTACTAAGTGGCAGCCGTTCAAGTAAGGTTTCAGGTATGCCCAGTTCTTATTTTGCAGGTGGACCCACCAAGAATCAGATTACATTACTGCATAATGCACAAAATATTTTCAAGGATATTTATGATGGGTTTCTTTAATGCTGGGACACAGAAAGTACTTCTTGGTATACTGAAGTTTTACAGCCTTCAAATTGCATTTCATGTGTCATCTGAAATCTGGGGAAAAACTCTCCAATGTGGTGTTAGAAAGCAGCATTCCTTTATTCCTCGTTATATGGGATGACTTGACAAATCAAGTGCACTAGTTTTGCATTTAAAAAGTTAAGATATACATATGTGATATATTGGCATGTATATTCATTCTTTTCCAAGAACTCATTAATATAAGCTAATGTTCCTCTGGGTATGTGTGGTAGTGGCCTCTGGTGGTCGTAGACCACTTACTTTCTCCTCATTTGTCCATCATCAGCTTCATCACAGTGACTTTTGGCTGACTTTTAGCTGCTTTTCCCCATTTTGGCAAATTCCTATTGCACGTTATGCCTGAATGAGCAACTTTCTATCTTAGTGCACTATAACCCAAAATAATATATGTAAAATGCAAAAAAAAAGTCCTTGCACCTGGTGGATGCAAAGATAAAAGTCTGTTGTGACTCTAGAGCTCCTGCAAAGCAGAATCATTGCGAAAAACAAGGCTGTCCACACACACCAAGCAAGGCTAAATGGGAAAGTTTTAAAACCAGCACTCATCAATCCCTTTTGCTAAACTAATACATTAGTCCTTAAACTAATATACTGATCCCTATTGCTAAGCCAGCTTATATCACTTGGAAGAAGAAGAGCAAAGCTCAGTCTTAACACGGGCAGTGTTGGCCTGCAGCTCCTCCTCGTTTTGGCTTCACTTTGTATGTATTGTTTCACCTCCACAAACATTTTTTACTTTATATGAGTCTTGGCAAATCCTTATCCTTTAGTTACTTCTTCCCTACAGATGCAGAAACAATAAAATAGACAGTGATGAGTAGATTCTATAATGCAAAACTAGATGTCCAATTAGAATTTGACAGGAAGTGTGAAATAAAACACATTAAACAGAATAAGAAAGTGGGACAAGAAATCAATTTCCCATTAAGTTCATTGGTTTTTTTTGTTGGTTTTTTTTTTTTTTGCTGCCTCTCAATGTTAAAAGCATCAATTACACACATACTATACTCCTTTGTAGTCTTATTCTGTGTTCAAAATCAGCATACAGTGGAGAAAATGAATTAGGCCAGGCATCACTCAGCATTGCAAAGGGCCCTACAGTTCACTCCAGACTGGCTTGAATAGGTGTTCTACCAGTGCTGGGAAATTGCATTATATGCAGTGTGGAGAAGGAAGTGATCTTAAACCACTTGAGGCATGAGGCACGAGTGATGTAGAAGGTACGAAACTGAACTTGGGAAAAGCCATGAATATGTTCTGGATGGAAAGTAAACACATTTCCCTACAGGAATTGCTTGTATGGATGTAGACAGAAAGTGTAAGGCATATACAACTAAATGCATCACTCATGGTGCTTAAGTCACAGCACCATGGACATAAAGGGAGCAGAAAAAGCTACTTGTATATAATATTTCAGACAAGTAGGTACAAGTGTGATTTCTCTCTCATTTACTCTTTCTTAACAGTGTTATGCATATGTCTTGAAAATGCTGCCTTGAACTAACAAACACACAACGACGTTTGTAGGTAGTGGTAGTGAGCCATGTTTACAGATTCTCTAAGTCCAGCATGCTTCACCTCTACTTCCAGCAGATAGTAAGATGCATCTCACTGAGCTGCATATAGTTTGAACAGTGGTGACTGCAGTTTCTTGGGATTGTGAAGAAGGGGGACATTCTGGTATGAGGCAGGATGCGAAGGAGCATGCCTAAATCGCCAGGTCAAAAGCACAACATTTGGTTAGAAACAACTGCACCTCCATCTCCCTTCACTGGCAGAAATTTAGGCACAAATGAAATGGAGAAGAAATCACCATAACTTCTTTCATCATCCTTCATGAATCAGTGGTGTAAACACATCTTAAGAAACAGAAGCAGAAAAGTGCTCTGAAAAAACAAGTGATGCATCTAACTTCAGCAAAACCTTTTTCTGGTACGTCTGAAGATGCTGCAGCAGCTTGCTTATGTTGGCACATGTCCTCCATCACTCGGACTTTGTTTCAAGTGCCAAACATGTGGACTGAATTATTTTGGATTGCAAACCACAGACACCCATAAATACTAAAGAAAAGATAAATGGATGGAGAACAATGGGTTCTTTACTGGGTCTAAGCACCCATCCTCTCAAATCCAAGACTTCAAAGTCAGTTTCAGATGTCCTGGCTTGTTACTTGCTTGTAAAGAGCCTGTAAGTAAATTTCTAATTCAGAAACTCCTAGATAAGGTCATTAAAAGGTGAAATTTGGTGCTAAACCTTGCTCTAGTCTCTAGAGTACCAGCTGAGCTCCAGGGTGCTGGTAGCATAGATGCTACTTTCTGTCCACTTTTATATATTTTTTTAACCTTTTTCAAAATAAAATACTCTTAGTGGTTCATTTCTTCATTTTGCACTTACTCTGTTTCCTTTTCTACACAGCTGCAACATAATGTTGTTTCAGTAGAGCAATGCTTTGCAAATTTGGCTCAAGGAGACAATGAGCAAACAGCTTTTCAGAGAGCTGTCAGAAGGGGCAGTTTGGTTTCCGTGCAAGCAATACTCGCATTCCAAACTGCATTAGGGAAAAGCTGGTGGGTTTGTATGCATTTTTATTATCAATTCCAGATTAGGAATCCGATGCTAATTTCTTCTTAAAGCCTGTGCTTGCAGGAGAATTTATATTCTAAAACAAAAAAGGATTGTGACGTTTTTCTCTCACAAGCTCTTTTTTTTTTTTTTCCTGGCTTTACTCCAAGGACCTTTTCTGCTTGTTCGTTACATTCTCAAGATGAAGCCCCCGGTGGTTACAGCAGTGCTGGTAGTACTGGTGCAGGTTTCTCAGAGTTTCCCTGCCTTGTACCACCGAGGCTGGTGGAGGCTCTTAAAGGAAGGAGATAGCTGTGGAAAATGTGATTTGGCACTTTGCTCTGAGCCAAAAGACTGTCTGGCTGGGACTGTAGTGGACCATTGTGGCTGCTGTTCTGAATGTGGAAATGTGGAAGGTCAGATCTGTGATTTGGACCAGGGCAATCATTTTTATGGGCAGTGTGGGGATAACCTCGAGTGCAGGTTGGATGCCGATGAAGCCAGGTTTGGGGAAGTCCCTGAACCCCAGTGTGTGTGCAAGTCTCAAGAGAGCATCTGCGGATCTGACGGGAAAACCTATGAGAACATCTGTCAGTTCAACAAGGCTTATGCAACTAAAAGAAATATCAGCATGAAACATAAAGGACCGTGTGAATCAGGTAACCTGTACAGAGTTATTTTCAAACTAAAAAAAGCTGCAATTCTGATTGAAATGTTAATAGATGCTCCAGTCTTAACTTCAATGAACTAATGCTGCGTTTTTGTTCTAGTTATCATTATTTTGTTGCAATACTACTTTGTGTTAACTGTGGTTCAGTAGCTAGTACTTAATCTTGTGTGTAATAAGCCTCTGTATTTGCTTAGTGGATCTTATATCACATGGCAACTAGTAAGGCACAAATCTACGGTCCAGATCTGCACTAAAAAAGCAGAATATGAGATATTTTCTACAAAAATTGTATGTGTAATTGGGAGTAGATGAACAGATTCTAGGAGGACTGGGCAAATTATTATATGAAGACTGACATGACATTGAAGCAGTGATGACAAAGCAAACTTCATTCATACCCACGTATCTGTATATATATAGGAGAGAATGGTGAAGCAGAGGAAAAAGAAGATAGGACTTAATTAATAGATCTATGTATGCTTTTTACAAAAACATCCAAAGCAATCTAATTAATGAATCACAAAATCTAGGTACCTATGAAATAGAAATCCATATATTAGGATAAAATCAAACAATTTTATTAAAGATACTTACAGTGAATAAATGCTCCTCCGTGGTGATTGTTAGTGGAAGGACTCCTAGTCAGGTTGTAAGAGGGAATCTTGTCTCTTGTTCATGTGCTGCTCTCATTCTTTACATTATTATTCCTGGGCACCTTTCACCTAAATCAGGTGAACATAGAATGAAAAGGAAAAAGTTTTTTTCTTTTAAAAGGAAATGTTTTCTCAAATATCAGTAGAAGAGGCTTCTCAGTCACAAATAGGTCATACTTAGGAATCCAAAATTGTATCTCTGGCAAAGGTCTGCATATGAAAGTGACTCAGGTGCGTGTTACCCATTCCTTGCTGGCAATGTATTGCTTCCAATTTGGACCACATGCTGCACTCTTATATCGAATGGACACTGGATATTGAATGCTTAAAAGGAAAAGTGATGAGTAGCTAATACCAGACTTTCGTTTTCTCTAGTCGCAAAAGAAGCATCCATTAGAGAATCACTTATTTGCCATTAAGGTATTAAGCTGGGCAGTAAGACATGTCTGTAGACATTCAGGAAACTCAGTGCACAGCAGCTCACAGTATGACTGAAAGCCTGTTTGCCCTTAGGTACGTTTTCTTATCTGGCATTAAAATAGCACTAGTTGTTGCAACATAACCCTTTCATGGACATTTCAGTTGGAAGTGCCATTCAAATAAAAACTGATCTAAGCCTGTGTGCCTGAACACCTTAAAGCAATGTTTTGTTCTAATTAATGAAACAGACCCAGCCAAAAAGCTTGATTTGGCCTTGGAGCTACCTCTGAGGTGTGTAATGCTGCTCATTAAGCACGATGAACAAGATCAGCTTCTCTGCACACAGGCATCACCCCAGTGTCTATTTTACCATTTCCCTTGGTCCCCAATAAGGCTGGACCCTCTCTCCAGAAATACTGAGACATTTATTAGGATGACTCAGCTCACTGAACTGCACAGATGCCTGGGCATATGCTCATAACCATGTCAGTGCTATGCTCATAACTATCTCAGTGCTGTGCAGTTTATTTAAGAAAACAAATCACTTTGGCTCCTGCAGACAGAAGCATGCAGCTGGTGTCCGAGCCCAATGGCACTTGGGCCTGTGGTGTGTGCTGGGGCAGCAAGGAGACAGAGCAGCAGTGCCCCTCTTCTCATTTCTCAGAGCAGCTGCTCCTGTGCTGCTTTTGTAGGCTGTATTTAGGACCTGAAAGGAGCCTGGGCCACAGAGGTGGTACCATGTGGGCACCATGTCTTGGTCCTCCACAACAGCCTACCAGTAAGCCCCCTCTCCTTGCCACTGCAGATACCTGAAGCATGCAGTGGGCATGTGAAAGTGCACCGTGATTTAGGCTATTTCATGGCAGTGGCCAATAACAAAAGGCAACAGGGAGCCTGGCTCCAGCAGCAGCAGCCTCCTGACTATGGAGCTTGCTTTCCACTGACTCCAATTTGCATGAGAAATAAACACTGAACACTGTGGGGTTTTAGTACCAATCTATAAATATAACCTTCAGTCAACTCCAACTACTTTGTTTTGCTATTTTTCCTTCAAAGCATCTGCTGTTTCCTATTGATGCCAAAAGGATTAATTGTATACAGCAAGCGATGAATAAATAAATAACAATAAACTCCTTTCATCAGAAGAGCACAGCCTTTTATCTTTCATCTCTAACCAGAAAAAGGGCAAGAAAAAGGCCTAGCTCCCTAAAGTAACACTGAAAGAAAGCCCTTCTCTTTCTAAATGCTAGTTTTGATCAGTTTATCTAATAATTTACCAAGGTTACTAAGTACAGTGATTATATACAGATTCTCCACGCTTAATCTATCCCCATTCAAAGCCTTCCTGCTGATAATTTAATGAAGTAACAGAACCAGCAATGCTTCTCCCTGTAATTAGCCGTATCGCGTAATAACATAAAATCTTAAATTAAACGTATAAAGTTAAAAACAAACAGTAATTCAATGTTTAGAGTAAAAAGAAACAAACACAAAAAACCTCTAATCCACCAATTTTTCTGCCATTTTCATCAAATCACATCCAGGCTAACAAGAGTGAATACGAATTAAGGAACAAAAACCTGTTATTACACAATTGTCTGGCGTGGTTAAAGGCAATTATGAAAGGTGAAGCAGCGTTTTGACTTTTCCTGGCTTGTGGGCTTCTGGTTTATGTATTCTGTAACACAGGAGGATAGTTTGTGTCTGGAATTGTCCAAGGCAAGGCACAACTGCTGTGCATTCACTTCTGTACACAGAGGCAACAGAACACTGTTTATAATTGTTAAGAAAAACTTATCTATTTTAAAAAACTGGTTATCATACCAGCAAAGACTCGCTTTTAAAGACACAGTTTTGCAAAACAAGCAAACAAACACCATGCAGATGCAGATGGGAGAATTTGTCTGAACGCAAACTCTGAAACACTCAGTTAGGAAGCTTGTAAACTTCTGATAAGTCATAAGTTCATCTCTCTGTGTTCACACAGCAAACTGGTGTTGTAAGACACACGGGGTTTGTATTATTTATTTCTGGAGGCACTTCAAGTTTGTGTAGATGTCACAAGTGTTTGCTGTGTGTGTTCAAATTCAGAAAAAGCACTTCTGTTTGATCGAAGCTGCAGTCCTCCCTAACCCTGACCAGGCGGGTGCATCATTAAAGGCAGTGCAGTTGCTCTGAGTTTTAATATTCCACTGTGTGTTCTAATGTCTGATCCTGTGCTCATGGACAAAAAAACTGCCGTCCAAAATAGTCAGTCGGTGTTGATTGGAACATGGTATTTTTACAAGGAGATACAGGTTCTGAAAGTACAGTTCTCACAAAAGACCAAGCATAACCAGGCTCAGGTACCCCACTAAGTTTGAAATCCTCACTTTTAAAGAGTATCGGGAGGGTTTTAAGAGGAATTTATAACTGGGAAGTTGATACTTTTCTGTGTAATTGTTTTTTAATTAACTTTAAGCAGTGCACATTTGATATTTTCAGCACAGGTATCAGTTCTTAAAAACTGACATGTTAGAAACCCTGCTTCAAAAAGTGGAGTGAAATGTTGTAATTTCAGTTGCTGAAGCATAAATATGTGCCTACATACTGACTGAAATGCTTTGAGTAAAAACACACTGATTGTTTAAGAGAAGTTCCTAAGCATCGGTATGAAATACAAGCAATAATTAAATACAAGTGTAATAGCCCAGAAAATAAGTTCTTTTTAAAAAAACTTTATTTATGAAAATAAAAAGAGAAGGAAAACATACCTTAAAAAGAAAACATTTCTCACTGACCAGAACTGGATGAGAGAAAATGCAATGAGATTTCCAGAACAGTAGAGTTGCAGTGAGAGTAAAGAAGTTATTTTCCCCTCTGCCACTAAATACCATCATGTCCTGTTAAAAGGGAGTATGCTTATACATGCTTGTAGATGGATATGTATTTGGAGAGTTCCTGAACGCATCAGGTGACAGTTTATTTAACGTCTTCAAAACCCTGGTCTGGCTCCCTCTCGTGGTTGTTGATAGCTTTTTATTCGGGAAAAAGTGGAAAAGAATAATTTGAAGAAGCAGTAAATAAATGGATGAGGAGGATGAGCGTAAAATAATAATAGGAAGCAAGTAAGTGGAAATCTACTAATTTCACTAAACTCAAAATCTTAAAAAATAATTCGATTTCATTTACTTTTAATACTTATATTTCCTAACACAAGGAAATCAGTTGAAATTGATAGCAAGTGAGGATAAACGTGGAACCCATGAATGGTGTTACTGAGTTCCATGGGTTACATAGGAAGAGGAGGCTTTACAACAAAGTAAGTTGGAGGCAATGCAACCCCTAAACAAGTTTTGATAAGCTTTAAGTCAGCATTTCATCTTTTAAGCTAACTGAATTTCTTGTACCTTCCTCTGAAGGTCTGGATGAGTTACTTGTGCCAGACTGACAGGCCTTGAGTCCAGTCCATAATGGCACAAACTGAACTTCGATCTTAACTTTCATGACCATGTGCACAGAGAAAGGACAAGCAAATCCTTGAAAACAAGTCTTTAAAATACCTGTTCACACTTCAATGCGATGTGACGTTTTCTGAGCTTTAAAAACTGCTTGGAATCTTTCGGTCTTCCAAATGTGTGAGGTGGAAAAGTTACCTAAAACAAGAACTGGTGTTACATCCTTTTGTGTTGGCTTTTGCTCACGGTCTCCTAAAGCAGTACTGTTGGGTCTTTGCAGCTCCTGTGATTTCTATGCCACCTCAGGATGTCCAGAATTTCACAGGCAACGATGTCATTTTTGGCTGTGAGGTGTCAGCCTATCCTATGCCACACCTTGAATGGAAAAAAAAGGGGAATAAAATGTTTTTACCAGGAGATGACGCCCACATCTCAGTACAGGTAAAAACTGCTTTTTTTGCATCTTATGGTTTGCAGTGAGGAGTAGGGGGATTTGTTGTGAAGTTCTCTCGCAGGATGCAATGCTGTTGCAATAAACAAAGGGGCCCTATGATTATGTTGTGGATTCTGATTTTGGCCAGTGCAGGGATCATTGCTGTGGCAGTCCAAGCAGAATGAATAACAGGGTGGGTACCATCCATCCTGCTTCAGGGAAAGGTAAGATTCTCCTTATGCAGGCATAGTTCTGGAGAAACTGAATAGGGTACCGTGTAAAAAAGGTGCACTCTGAGAAAGATGGCTGTGGGCAGCTATTTTTCTGTTCCTCATGCAGAAGCATCATTCTGGCAGATATCTAAAGTTCTCCTTTGCAAGATGCTGTTTCTGGAGACGTGCCATCTGGGTCCAGTCCCTGAGGTGTTCAAAAGGAAAACAAAGAAATTTGCTCATTTTATATGGAGGATACTGTGTTTTAGTCTGAAGGGAAAGAGTGGAATGGCATTGGTATGGGCTTTGAGCAAATGTAGAAACAGCCCAAAGGTTTGAGCTAAAATTAAATCAAAACGCTAATTCTTTTTAATGGAAACAACATTCTGGGGGAGAAGAGCTAACAGAGCCAGATGCACTGCAGACTGCAGGAAGGAAGGAGACTGTACCAGCATGCCTTCTCCAGTGGACAAAGGATCTGAACAGACTATGACAAATCTAGCTTTCTGGATACACAACTGAAAAGCAAGAAGATCCTGCAGACATGGAGCACAACCTGAACAAAATTATAGATAGAAAAAGCATAGAAAAAAACTAATGAAAAGTATTAGGAGTCATTTAGAGTTATTTAGAAATGTATTCAGAGACAGCATGAATGAGTGGGACTAGTGAACTTAATAGTTGCTCAGAAACAACGGTGCAAGGAGCCACATCCAAACAGTGGTCAACTCGGAGGCTAACCTGTTAACCTGCCTCGTCAGGTGAGAGTGAGCATGAGAGCATCTCTGTTAACATTTAACTGATTTGTACTTGTATTACTTGTTTGGAAAACAAAGCCCCCCATTAAAAGGCTTTGGCAGGAGTCAGTCAGTGGAAACTGATTTTGACTAACTATGAAAGCTCATGCTATGTCTGTTAAAATTGGATGCTGAGCTTGGCCCAGGCTCAAATGCCACTCTTATCCTAAAGAAACTGATGAGCTGGAGAACAAGTGGCAGTGCTTTGAAGCTGCAGCAAGAAGTGGTGACAGGACAAGAGACGGGAAGACTGCTGGGAAGCAGAAGCAGACCAGGAATCAAAGCTCTGCAAAGGGCAGCAGTTTAAAGATGAAAGCAAGGAAGGCATGAACTGAGAGGCACAGAGACAATGAAAAGTTAGAACATATGGCAGCAGAATCAAACACAGAATCAAAGCATGATGGCAGGACATAGTAAACAAAGCAAAATTTGCAATGATGTTTAGATCTGGCCACGATTATTTTTAAAATATCCTCTTGCCTCCTAACTACCTGATTTCAATTTCATTTTGACTGTTTCTTTCCCTTCCCACAGGCCAGAGGTGGACCTCAGAAGTACGGTGTGACAGGCTGGCTGCAGATTCAAGGCCTCAAAAAATCAGATGAAGGCATCTATATCTGCCATACCAAAAACAAGTATGGTGCAACATACGCCTCTGCGAGATTGAAAGTCATTGATGGTATACTGTTCTTTTTGATTTTGGTTTGGGTTGGTTTGGTTTGGGTATTTTTTTGGTGTGAAGAATAGAGAAATGCGTAAGCAACCTGCAAAAGGTTTATAATGCAGAAGTGCCTATGAATTCTGAAGGAGAAAAATAATGATGTGCTAATAGCGTAATATTTTGCTTCAAATGATATCTCCTTCCAGAAGAAAACAGAACACTAAGGATTATAGTCATAGATCTGAGACACAGTGGCATTATCCTCATCCCACAGAAGCCCTGGGATGTTAGTGGAAGCTCTGAACCCAGAACTGTTGCAGCTGAGGCAGTCCTTGAACCACCAGTTCAGTCTATCTATCTATTTATCAGTTTATCTATTTATTTATCTATTCAGTTTGCTTTTCAAAAAGTCAGGATTGAAACTGTACCTTACCAATAAGAGTTTGGAAAGATACAAGAAACAGCTTTGCTATTGTTTTGCATTGTGCCAGTCCTACAAGCTAGCACATAAAACATTATGGTCCGGTTCACTCCTATTAACAATTAAATTAATTAGGATTCCATGATGTCTTGCTATGCAGGTTCATCTTCTGCTTTTGCCTTAACTGCTGGCAGTAGAAGTGCAAGCTATGACACTGACTATGACGACTACTATGACCATTCTGATGATGAGGATGAGGAAGAATATGAATCTGGGGATTATGAAAACTGAAACAGCCCTGAATAACAATTTCTGTACGTGTGCTGTCAGACACCTTTCACACTGCTACATTTACTTGTACTCCCTGTGCTGTAAATAGCTTCTCTGATAACACTATGCTCATTTGTGCATCCCACCTCCCTGAAATCCAACTGTGGCTGAAGTGTATCATGATACTTACCTGAAATAAGAACAGTTTTAAGTTCATGCATTTAGACTGTTAAATAAAATTCTTAAGCACGTACCCGGTAAGTGCCCTGAAAGGATCCAATTTAATATTAAATTTTTAAAATGTACATTATTCTATAATTTCTATAACATTTTTAATTTTTTCTAACAAAAAAAAAAAAAAGGCAACAGTTAAACTAAATTTCTAATTTGTACCAATGTCTTATTTTTATTTATATAATGTACTAGACACACGGACAACCAGTATTTGTGAACAGCAGTAAATTAATGAGAGACTTCAGTAACAAATAAGGGAGCAAGAGTTCAGGCACCTGAATTTTAACCCTCATTCTTTGTAATATGCTTTATCAAAAGCACAAAAACACGCAGTGATTGCTGTACACACCTTGTAGAGTTTTTAAAATGTATATACAGTGCATCACAAACACCTCCATTAATGTTGTGCTGCTTTGTGCTTTTCTTTGCCATGAGACATTTTTCTTCAATATAAATTACATTAAGAGATTGGCTATAGACTGTGTTTGCCCTGAGGTATTATTGATCTTTGTACAGGTAAGAAAAGAGCATAGAATAATTTATTTTGGCTCAGAGTTCCTGGAATATTGTCAACTTGCAATACAAACCACACCACTAGGTCACTGCAAAGATTAATTAGTTTTAATTAGGAGTATCAAATGGCTTCAGATTTAATCTGATTTTGCTGTTATGGGCTCTTCCTGGTCTTCTTAGTGTTATGTCTAGTAAGCTTTTTGTTTATTCGCTATATATTGCTTTTAGCATAAAATTGTCTGGTAGGAATCACTGTATTTCTAAATGGATGACTGTTAATGTAACTATTCAATCTTCAGACATATGTTCAAGATCAATTGCAATCTGTGTTGCAGATGAATGAATTAGATTACTAAAGCACTCACTAAATTGTGGCCATGCATACTGGCAGGGCTATAATGTGTCACAGCAAAATAATCCTGAAATCATCAGCCATAGAGACCAATGGTAATTCTGCAGGGCCTTCTGCCAATACTGATGCAAACTGAAAAAGAGAAACAAAGAATAGCTGAATGAAAAAATGTGTAGCAGAACCATATCCAGTAACATGCTGCAACTGCTTGGGTGGGTGGACTATGTCTATTTAGAAAAGCCTAACTTTTCTATAACAAAGCCTTCTAATTTAAATCCATTCCATTTATCTCCAAGAGGTTTTTTTTTTGTTTGTTTGTTTTTTTTTTTTAAACGTATTTAATCTTTACTTGTCAATTTAATTTAATCATTTCTTGTCAATTATTAGCTATACCTTCCAATAGAAAAACTGCATGTTAGGGAAAACCCTGATGTAGTGCAGGGGAAAGAAAAAAAAAGGAAAAAAAAGAACATTGATACCCTGACCATTTGCTAATTCTGGTTTTGTGGAGACAAGAAATGGCTGACTTTGTTTATATGCTTTAATCAAGTCACTTAAATAGAAAAAAAGGATGGAGAAGATTCAACCCTCTGTAAGCAGCACTGCAAAGGAATGGATCTAATTGTGAGTGCAATGCCTGTAAGCAACAGATCTATTCACATAATGCAAAGTAACAGCAAACTGAGGAAGTGAGTGTTATTCCACCTAGCAGCAGATGAGACACAGACTTGAGCTGGAAACCATAGGGGAGGGAAAGCTGCAGGGAGGTCCCATTACTGTATCTGGTGCAGCAGATTTAAAACATTCCTTTAGCTCAACTTCCCTGGAAGAAGAAATTATTTTGTTTTTATCTTCCATAAGAGCAAGATTGAATTTCATGGCACGACCTCCTCCCGTCAATGCCTGTCACACAAGCATCTTCACCGTGTCATTTCCATCTCCCAAGTAAGGATAAAGGAATTGCATGAAAGCTTCTAAATAAATTACATTCCTTAACACAGATTTGTCCTTAGTGCTAGGACTTCGACACGGTCTGAAGCAGTTTCATAATCTCACATTCTTACTTGCTATGTTAAATCTCAGGAGCTTGTTAGGTATTAGTCTAGGAATCTGTTAATTCTTTAGCTAGACTGTTTTTTTCCCTTTAAAATAATCAGTCTGTCGTTAACAGAAATTGGATACAGAAGTGCAATTGCCCACATCTGAGAGATTTAAATGATTAAATTGATTAAACCAAGGAAGAAATAGTCACAGTCTTGCTGTGCATGCTGCAGAGCGAGCACCACTTGTGTGCCCTGTGGTACGAGCTTTGTGCTTTCAGCTTCTACCTGTGCTCATCTGCTGGTCCAGAACTGGGACCAAGGCTGATGAGGAATGGGCGGATGTCTCTGGGTAAGAGGCTGGCTCAGTGCTGCAGAAGGCACAAGCTCTCTCATGTTCAGCTGCCTGTAGTGTCCTTAGCCTGTGCGCAGCTTTTCAACTGTTTAACTTACTAACTTTATTTCTTCATGTCTTTGCATGATTTAGTGGCACAGCATATGTAATGGCCCATCACCTGGAGCAGGAGTTACAGTAAGTGCTAGAACTGAAACTAATCTTTGGGTCAAGGTCTTGAAAGGCTGTGCAAGAACTTGTTAGCTTTCTGACCTACACCAGCAAGCTGCTTCTGGCTCTTCAGACACTTTATATATCTACAGCATTTGAAAATCTCCCCCAACTGCCACATCATAACTTATGGCTGACTTTTCTCGTCCCTCACATCACTGTTTCATTCCGTATTCCTCCGTAGCCCTGGGGATCCCTCTGCTATGATCTGTTCCCCCAGTTCCCTTTGAAATCCTTTGTTTCCCTTCTGCATATCGTCAGTCCCTTTTTTTTTCTGGGCATTTGGCACGCTTTTTTACTTTTCCTTTAGTTTAGACAATGGCTGCAGATAAATGATTCTGCTTCAGCACAGGGTAAAGGATGAAAAAGGGTGCACTGGACTGAGGAGCAATAATTAGGGGACTGAGCAGTCTGAGCTATTTGACTTTCAGAAGCACCAGCCAGTTGTGAGGGCACGGGATCAAGAAGCTCCATTTAAAATCATTTTCCTTCTTCATTTTGCTTCACTCTCCAGTAATTAATGATGTATTTTCTACAAAAGCATGTGATTCAAAGATGATATCATCATTCAACTGTGATAGTTCATGTACAAAGAAATTACTATTCCTGCCCAATTAGAGTGGCATTAACTGCTTCTTGATCCCACTGCTAGATAGTGATTCCAGCTAAGAATACATCAAATTCACTTTTGTTCTGAAGCAGCTTCCATATACTCATTTTGCCATCTCTGGGCTACCAGCCTTCACAAGAGCAGGAGACAGAGCAGGAGAGAAACAGCAATTCTACACAAACTCCTCCTGTCATCTGTCAAGCAGAATAAAAGTGCCATGGACTACAGATCACTGGGGAGACTGAGCAGGGGATGTTCAGACATCAAACAACAGTGTGCCCAATAAGAAGATCAAAATTCCTTTATGTATTATGTATGACAATAGTCCGTAGACATTCCATGGCTGGTTTTCACTGCTAACTTCTCCCCAGCTTGTGCTGGTATCACAGTGATACCATACAATGGTTTTGTTGCCTACCCCCTGTGACACTTCAGTTGTTGTTACCTCCTTCCTCCCTGTGCTGCTGTCCCAATGCATCTTATGATGCCTGAACACATACGCATTGTTGAGTTTTACCTTAGGTTCAGTCTGGCTTTACGCTGCAAAGAATCACTGTTCACCTTCAGCGGGACACAGAATACACAAATGCTTCTCATTTTGCCTAATCACAGAATTGTAGGGGTTAGAAGGGACCACTGAGATCACTGAGTTCAAATCTCTGCTAAAGCACTTCCCTGAGCACGTTGCACAGGCAGGCACCCAGACAGGTCCTGAATATCTCCAGAGGAAGAGACTCCACAGCCTTTCTGGGCAGCCTGCTCTGACAGTAAAGAGGTTTTTCACATGACAAAAACATGTTGTTTTGCATGCATATGGTACAGTGTTGTGCATACACGCAGTCTGTAACAACCACGCACTTCACCAATTTCCAATCCAAGACACAGCTCACGCACTTACTATGTCAGCTTTTATGAAAATAGCCACTCTTGATCTATTGACAGGGAGTACCCCAGTCTCTGGGTAAGCCACTCCAACAATAGCCAGCCTGCTTACTTCTGTTGCAAATTTGCCCAACTTCAACTTATAGAGGTTAGAATTATATCTTTCCCTCCCAACTTCAGCAGTCTGCAAGAAAGTGCACCTTTTCCTATGCAGATACTTGTAGACATTGCTCAAATCATAAAACCATAGAATGGCTTCCTGCTAGATAATCTCTGTATTGATCTTCTTGTGTCTCTGACTTGTGCAGTACTCACCTCACTGACCTTTACGGATCTGGATATGCTGGATCACTGAGCAGAGGCAAACAGTATGAGCTTTAATAAGACCAAGTGCTGGGTCCTGCACTTTGGCCACAACAATCCCGTGCAACACTACAAGCCAGGGGCAGAGTAGCTGGAATGCTGCATGGAAGGAAAGAACCCTGGGGATATTAGTTGACAGCTAACTGAATATAAGGCAGCAGTGTGCCCAGGTGGCCAAGAAGGCCAATGCCATCCCAATTTGTATCAAAAATATCACAGTAATGAATTAATTAATTAAATGTGGAGCTTGGTGGCCCTGCCTGTGGCGGGGGGGTTGGAGATTCATGATCCTTGAGGTCCCTTCCAACCTGGGCCATTCTGTGATTCCGTGAATCAGCAGAAGCAGGTGATCATCCCTCCTTACTCGGCACTGGTGAGGTGGCACCTGGAGGACTGTTCAGAAGATACTGAGGTCCTGGAGTGTGTTCAGAGAAGGGCAACAAAGCTGGTGAGGGGTCTGGAGCACAAGTCTTATGGAGATTGGCTGAGGGAGCTGGGATGGTTCAGTCTGGAGAGGAAGAGGCTCAGACGAGACCTTAGCAACAAGATCTCTAAATCTCCCTGAAAAGAGGTTGTGGTGAGATAGGGGTCAGCGTCTTCTCCGCAGTTGACAACGAGGGAAGCGCTGGCCTTAAACTGCGCTAGGGGAAGTTCAGGTTTCTGAGAAGAAATTCTT